CGTTTGATTCCTTCAAAAAATTTGGTGAATCGATTCCTTTTGAAACGCATTCAGAGAATCAAAAAACAATAAAAGGAATGATTTACGTTTGACTCAGCCAATTTTTTTTTTGAACGATTCTTTTTTGATTCAATTAAAAAATAAAATATACAAAATATCAGGGATAGTATTGTACATATTTGTTGTGTTCTTTTGTTGTCATGTAATGGCAGTAGTGTTAATATTTGTTGATAATTAACCCGCGCCCTGGTGGGGTCTGTTTATAACGCGACCTGGTGGGGGTGGGGGGCTATTTTTTTGCCCCCCCCCCCTCGTATCTCCGAAACTACTGGACGGATCCAGAAAATTCAAACGGCGTTCGAAAGGCCTGTCAAATTTGTCGAAGGAAACCAAATTTCATTGACCTCGGGGTCACCGATGACGTCACAGGTCAGGTCAAAGATGAAATGTTTCACCGTTCACGGGTCTTCTAGGGAATGCGCTATAACACCGAGGAAAACGCATTTTGTCGAGAATCAGCGATAGGGCGTCAGTTGCCTAGTACATATATTGCTATTAGAGGTCACTGACAATACCAGGTCAGGTCACAGGTCAGGTCACCAAGGGTCACAAGTCAGGTCACATGAGCCCAACTTTACTAAGGTTGTGTGATGCATGTTTTATGGCCAATTTTTCATTTCCAACTCAATGGTGTTGGTTATAAGACTATCAGGTACGGCTTAGGTCACTTTCTGGTGAAGTTCAGGTCAAGGTCAGGTCAAGGTCAGGCCAAAAAAGGTCAAATTTTAAAGTTGATAGTATTGCATAAAATGGGTAATGATTCGATGCAGCTCGTCACGGGGAGTCTAAAATGGTGGTCTTTGTTTTGCGCTACGGGGTCTAGAATTGCTAAAATTGAGTTTGAAAATTTGACGTCATCAATTTTGAACAGTGTTTTTCGCTATAACTTCGCCAAAAAAGAGGTATTAATCTCAAATTTGGTATGTGGATGTAAAGCGGTAAGGACTATCACATATATTCCGGTTCTTGCGAAATTCAAAAAACTTTTTGGATTTTATGATTATTATATCCAAAAAAATTACTTTTTGATTTTTGGGGGTCAAAATCCAAAAATTTCAAAAATTCGAGATAGCAGTTTTGTAGCCCTGTCGATTCTACAGCTTTTATGTCTTTATCATTTTTCTGTATTTGCAAAGCTATAGGCCTGACAGCTCTTCCCGCGAAACCCTTTTTTGGGTCGAAAACGACAGAACATGACGTCACTCTGACGTCATTTCCGGCCAACCTATCATAGCCTTTGGAAAAAATTTTGGTCACCATGTGTAAAAGTGATGTCCGGGAGGGTACTGAAAGTTTGGTGACGATCGGCGCAGCGGTTCTGGAGATATATCGAAAAGTCTGGAGGGGGGCAAAAAATAGCCCCCCCCCCCACCAGGTCGCGGTTTAACTATGTTCGTTCACTTCAATTTTTTTAAGTTCATGAATCATTAATTTTTTGATTCAATCAACCCTGATTCCCAATGCGTTTGATTCAATCATGGCTTGTGAATCAAACAATCCTGACAGTGAATCAAAACTTTTTGATTCAACAAATTTTGTTTGATTCAATCCAATCGATTCAATCACAGATGAATCAAACACCAGTCTGGACCCTCAGTGACCTGACCTTTGCGACCTGACCTGGTATCAGTGACCTTAAATAGCAAACTGTGTTTTATGGACAATTACCCATCGATGACTTTCAATGACATGCATTTTACTCGACTTTACAACGCATTTCTTGAAATGCCTGTAAACGATGAAAATTCAACAGTTGACCTGATCTGTGACGTCATCGGTTAGACAGAGGTCAATGAAATTGGGTCACAAGGTAGTTCCCCGTTGGGGCTATCCAACACCGTTTGCTGTTTGTCGCTATGTTGCGTGGTTCTCGGGATCTTAGGGGGGGGGGGGGGGCAAAATGGTCCCACGCCATCAGACCGCGTTGCTCGGCAGATCCCATCAGGGCGCGGGCTAACACTCGCCGGCACAGGCCATTTTGCGTCCTTCGACGGCACAAGGGGGGGGACTGGTACGACCCCCCTCTCGCGTTTGGCCCCTGATCGAGCTAACGCTTCGCAGAAAAAAACGTGTTGCCCGTGACGAAAGGAAGCCGATGATACCCAATTTTAGCCCTCGCCGACAAAGGGGGGGTGGAGGAGTTGATGCAACCCCCATAAGGTTTTTCGCAAATAGGTAACTCGCGTAAAAGGTGGACGATCGCGACGAACCTTTCAGTGCCCATGCATTTATCAATTTAATAAGGAGCTCCATACCCATTGCAGATCTCAGTTACTCATAGTTCCTTCACATGACCTACATTTTCAACTGACTCGGAGAGTCGTGGATAGGGGGAATAGTCACCGTCGCTTGCTGAGTCGCCTCCTAGCAACATCAGCTGCATTTGACATGCTTTCCTTGGGTAGTGGGATCATCTGACATAACACGGACGGCTTTGCACATCTTATCAGCCAGCCCACCGGTCCTCATAGTCTGTATGTATGAACTGACGGAAATGGCTCGAGTTTCAGAAAGCGTGGTTAACCCTCGCCCGCACATGCCATTTTCCCATCCTAGAACGCACATGGGGGGGGGGGGGTGGTTGCCACCCCCCCCCGCGCCATTTCGTTCCTGTTGGAGATAGAGCTTAGCAGTAAAGACCAAAAAGATTCTTTGGGAAGAGACGAATCCAATGATACCCAGTTTTACCTTCTCAGGTCAGTCATTGACCTTCCAGGTCAGGTCAAACTAAAAAATGTTGCTGTTTTGGGTCACCGTTGGATATCAAGTGCGCTGCTTATCAAATACCGATGACGATGCTGTTTTCTGGTGCCAAGCCAGCTAGAACCTCTTTGTCACACTATCCGACCAGAATTTTGCTGCTGAGGTCATTTCAGGTCAAGTTAGGTCAAGGTCAATTATATGTGTTTGTATGTCTGTGTGTGTCTGTGTGTATACTGATGTGTGCACCGATTGTTTTTGGGTCCATATCACATGAAATCATGATCTGAGAAGCTTTTACCAAAAATGCAGTCAAAAAACTTCACAAAAAGTAAATTCAGCTTGCCTAAAACACAATTATCTTAGATGACCTAGGTTGACCTTGACCCTGACCTTGACCCCTGTACATCGTCGAACAACATGTTCCATGATAGGTGGGAGGTAAGACTGGCAAAAAAGGCCGAAATCAGGGTGTCAAAAGCTCACAAGGCCCATGGCAAACGCAAGATGTTGAGAATTGGCCATTTGGGTCATGACATGACCTGAAAAACAAGGTCATATCTCCGAAACCAAAAATCACAGAAACTTGAAATTTTCAGTGGACATCAAGAAAGGATAGACGAGCAGCTATACGAAAAATCAGCCTTCTAGCTCTAAAAATGTTGAGTGCAGAGCAGAAAGACTGCCTGGGGGGGGTGGCAACCACCCCCCCCCCCCCATGTGCGGGCGAGGGTTAATGGGCGTGGCTCAGAGTACTCACAGGCTGCTTGGCAGATAACTAGGTACACACAATCCGTCTATCGTTTTCAGATATGTGCGCCTACTTCCTCACGGTGTATTCCACTCGTACCAGTGGCGTGCTGGTTCCACCAATCTGAGATTCACACTGCATAGGATGTGGAGTGAATGCAATTAGAATATTATTATAGTGTTATGCAATTATAATCATAATGCTGCTATTCGTTTTTTTTTTCTTTTTAAGTGGAGGGCGTTTACTCTGCTTGATTAATCACATATTCAATAGCTATTATGATATTTAATCGGTTCTTATTTTGTTGTACGTATTTTGTTATTATTAGCCTTTTAGCGGAAACATGTGGGCAATGAATCGTTTACACCTCATACATACTTGTCCGCGCTTGATGCTGCTCAGGTTGTCAAAATGCAACTGTTTTAAATTAACGTCATCACATTAAATTCTGTCATTTTAACTTTTACCCACGCCTTGCATGCATCCCAGTTACAAAGCGCAAAACGGCACACCAAAAATCGCACCCGACTGAAGACTGACTAAAACTTGGGCGAAGCCTCACGTCTATGTATCTTTTGAATTAAATGTTATCAGCTTATGGCAGGTCAATGTTTTTTATTCGTTGCCATTGTTGAGCTCACATTCCCAGCGTGACAGGCATTGTCACATGCTATATCTGCTTATCTCACTCCACTGACATTTTCGGCTTACCTTCTTTTGCCTTATCACATGTTAAGCATTACATATAACCACATCCAAAGAGCCGCACTCGTGAAACACACAAAAATTTGATAAACACGGAAGTTAATACTGTTCCCATTTCTAATATTACACTCTGATACAACTGAGGGACGGCATTAAATAACACTTGAAACATGAAGCCGAATTTGATGCATGAAGAAGACCACCTGTTCACTTATCGAATTTGATTTTGTTTTATGGAGATTCTGAAATTACATCGAACGTGCTCTGGGAACTGACACTTCATCCCAACACTCTCAGGCAGTGTGCAGAGTGAAATCATGCTGGGGTTGGGCAGTTTAGTTTCATCAAAATCTACCACCGAAAATTTAAACTCAAAGAAGTGCTTATTTTCATCATTGTTAAAAGCGTCATTTTTATTGTTGCCGTTGTTGTTGTTATTGTAGCCGCTTCCCGGTGCTCCACAAAAAAGGACGTGCTCCGTCTCTGGCTATATTGACATATACACTGACCAACGCCAAAGCGCGCCTACACGTGCCGATGCATGCTAATATTTGCCGCTGCTGCGAAAGACAAAGAACACAACATATTGCTCAACACAATGGCATCGAAGACAAACATATCGGTAAAATATCGCTCCTGAATCGTATGTACGTACCTAACCAAATCGTTCAAACCAAGTCGTTCTGGCTCAAACTTATCTGCGGCAAAACATCTTAATGATCATAGAATATCAAACATCATGCATCAATCGAAATATAATCAGCATAAACATCACGACTCTTACCGCCAATTGCGTCCTCGAACAATGTAAGTAACTATGCTGGAACTCCAGCCGCACTCGGAGTGCACTCTGAGTCCGGAGAAACGGCCAACACTCTCCCGTTCACACCGTCCTCGCCATGCCCACCTCTCGCTCTCCGTTCACTTTCCCGCTTAGCACACTCAATGTTCATGAGCTACATCTCTCCTCAATGCTCAATGACTGACCCCTGGCTGCTACCGCTCTCCCTCGCCGTGCTGACCCGGCCCATCGCCCCCGAGCACAGAAACCACGTGACATAGAGGTCACAGACATCTGTTGGTCAGCACAGAAACTAAACCTAATCGTCAAACCACGCGCAAACAAAGAGCCAGACCGAAACCAAAGAGGAGGGCAGGGATGGTTAGGGTACGATAAAGGAAACGGAAAGGAAGGACAAACGTAAAAGATAATGAGGTACACGGTAGCTACATTACTAGTAGTTATTATTATTTAATTGTTACTATCATTATCATTAAAATCATTTCGTTTCTTTCTGAAAACTACATACACGCCAAACGAAGCCGCATTGCATGTAAATCTGCAACACTTAACAAGCGCGCATTCATCTATAAGCCGGTGGATGTTCATCATTGCACAACTCGTGATCTTGACCAAGTGACTGCTTTGTTTATGTTGTCGCACATTTGCTGGTAGGGTTAATTAACAGAACATATTCGCAGTAGAGAGCTGATTCTGTTCTAAAAGTAAAAATTGAAAACGCCTGAATAATGTCCATTGTGCATTGTGAAACGCATGTTAAATGAGACCCATCTCGAAAGCCCACAAGTGTGCTGTGCACTTGTAACTCTCAAACTGGGTCGCATCATCTCCCACCAAAAGAAGGAACCCTAGCAACGAATGCATGGCATTTGACGATGACTTCAGTGACACCCTCATCACAGGGGATTAGTGGCAGTCCGGAGACGTTTATAGGGTCTTAGGCTGGTGCAAAAACATTAACATCATAAATGCTTATCGTTCGTGAGTGCTACCATATGTAGCCGCGTATAGCGCCGCTAACTGTATTCGAGACCTACCGGATCTCACCCGCCTGCATTGCTGGAAATGTGAAATCTTTTTCTTACCTAAATATTGGCCGGTGGTGGAAAAACCTTTCTTATGAACTGGGTACTGCCAGGTACCAGGTTCACCTCGAATTGCACGTAATTCCCGCGCACAGGCAGCGGTGCGGGGACGAAAAAATGAGCGAAGTGTGTTAGGCTGCAATCCCGCGCAGGTCATTAATTTTGGGTAGGAAATACTGGACGCTTGGTGCTCTTCAAGCCAAATGCACCATTGCACCGGCGCCATTTGTTCCGGAGATATGATGCCTGCCATAAAGGATGTGCGGTACGCGCCTCATGTACGGTACACGGAACATTTGTAACTTGGCTCCCGGATATAAAACGATTCCTATTCCTAGTTCCGCTCCTCTGATGAATACGAGTATGTCATTTGTACGCATTACACACATACACAGGATTCACGAGACTTCTATAATACATGTAGTACATAATACAAATGTAGTAAACACATTTTTTGAAACTTTCAAAAGAAAAGCAGCTTTCTAACGAATTATGGAACACAAGCGTTCGGTTACCTCTGAATAATTTCTGTATTTAGACTCATTCTTTAGGACAAATTTATTTATTTCGTGTCACTAGTTCGCGTTCAAGAGCTGTTTAAGTTGGTAATGCATAAACGTGATAGGTAGATATTGATAAGCCTTCAATAGCCTCCACGGATGGTTCATTATCAGCCGTTGGTATTACCGTGACAATACGTCCCAACCCTTTACCTCATGGCTCAGGGGGCGCTACACTGCTGCAGGCTTGAAATGAGCCGCAGTGTTAAATGTTAGTTTTACTGTTAGTTTTTTGTATTTTTGTATGTACAGTTAGTTTCCTTGATGTGAAAAACATTAGGGGTATGCACTGTTGTAAACTTGGATAATATTCGCAAAATATTCGGTTCCTCTTTCAGTAACATTCAGACCAACAGACCAATCCGAAATCTTTAACCCTATTAGTGGCAGGGGGGGTTGTTTTTATCCACCCCTCAGGTTTTTCGGGAATATCTCCGAAACCGCTGAAGCTACGATGCTGAAATTTTCTGACTTTTCCTAAAACTAAATTGGGCACATTCCCTGAAAATTTCAAGTTCATAACTTTACCAGGGGCGGCTCCAGAGCGCTGGGAATTGGGGGGTCCTATTCGTGAAGCGAGTCATTTGGGCGAAGATCACGATGCTGCACCAGTTTTACGAACAGTGAATGAAAGGTATCATGTGATAACATATACAAAGTTATTGTGCATCCTCTTTTGACACGTTTTTGCTATAATAGGCGGATCCAGGCGTCCAAAAAGGGGGTTATTTTTTACCTCCCAACATAGGTGCCCTGACACCGCCTATGCATGATCAATACAATTTTAGTCGTTCTCTCATAAGAAAATTGTAACATAACAAGACCATTGCCACCCTTTTTAGAAACAGTACCAACAAAAACCTTATTTACTATACTTTTTGTGTACCCCCAATCTCAATGATCTGTATCCGCCTATGATTTTTGAAAATGCATATTTTTAGGATCCATGTGAATTCCTGGTTCATTCTCTATCGATCGGCAAAAGTTGCGTTAAGATTGGTTTAGAAACCTGGCCGTGATAAACAGTCTAAAATGTATCTGCAATTTGCCCGTTTTTACCCCCCTCTACCCCCTATTGACATTTTTTTTTAGAAATGTATATCTCGTTGAGCCAAATTGAATGCCGTTTGAATTTTGAAAATCGGCCAGTTAGATCTCGAGATATCAAGGGGGGGTCGTAAACAGCCCCCCCTGCCACTAATATGGGGTAGCCAGGAGCCTGCCACTAATAGGGTTAAAGTAGGCAAAATGCTACTTCCCGCAAGCTATGAGCATAACGTTTATGCGATCCCTTTCTTGAAAAGTTTCTTCTTTAGGTGGTTCTATGTCCCACGAGGCCACAGAGTCCATTTTTATGGATAGCCCTTAAAAGTCTAGATTTAGCCCCCAATCGTACCGGGACATGCATGTATGTCTCAAATATCACCACTATCATTCGATGAGCACACCATCTCGTCAGCAATCAAGGATTAAGTACTTCCCTAAGAGTTTTACTGGTAATTCATGTTCATTAAGATATGATCTCGGCTTGTAGCAGCATTTAGAGGACTCGTGCGATGCTTCAAGCCATTGATCATGAGCGTTAATTCCCGTCCATGATTCCGGTTTTATAACCTTTGACGGCCTTGGGATCTGGCCGCTCAGCCATATCCATATTCGGCATTCGGGGTAGGATTTTGTTAGTGCTGTTACGCTATTAAGAGCTCAGATATTGTTTCACCTTTACCACATTGATTGACAATCTATGAATACACTACCTATACGGTAAATACTTGTTTAGACGTTTATGCAAAATGTCCTAAGTGTTGAGATGAAAAGCTTTGGTTTTCTTTTGAAAATACATACAACTGGGCTATCGCGCAAAAGGAAGTCCACAGCTCACAACGCCAACAGCGAAGGGTGTTCTCTCCCTGGTTCGTCAGTCGACATGGACTGGACTGGACGGTGTGGCAGCAGGCACCGGTAGGGTAGGTAACAGTCATATTCTGCTGGTGGGACTCCACGGTATAGGCCGTGGCCGCTCGCGATCCGGCTGCTGGGGCATTCCACGATAGATCGTACCAGGCCCGTCACCCTCATCTCTCAGATTTTAATGAAAATCGGTCCTAGGGGTAATCATAGGCCCCAAAGACGCCTGGCAAAATATCAGACTTCTCAGATCAAAACTTTTTGAGTTATATTGCATTACATTTTTTTTAACTTCGGTTTGTAACGGTGAGTTTGATGGCCTATAACTCAAGAACGGGTTAAGCAACCAAAAAACAGTAAACAACACTAAGCTTGCGATGAATCAAAATAAATATTACAATTTAAAAATTCCAAAGAAAAATTTCCATTGTTGAGCAAAAACCTTAATCTTTTTTCATTTGCCTCTAATGACTTTTGGGACCAAAATTTTTCACATTTTTATTTTTTCAAAATAAACTTCATGTCATTGCAAATCGACATGCAAAAAATTAGAAAGGTGTTCTTTCTATAAGTTCCTCATTTTCCCGCAAACAAAATGGGTTTCGGAGGGGTTGATACGACCCCAGCACGCCGTTTCGCTTCTAATAGAGCTAGAGCCTCGCGGAAAAAACGAGCGTGTGTGCCGTAACAAGTCGCAGCGATTGGTACCCGATTTTAAGGTCTCAGGTTAACCGGTAGCGTCTGGGGTCAGGTCAAGTGACTGAAGTTACGTGTTCGGTTTTTAGTAAATAACTTCGCACAAAATGGCCGCAGAGCCGCGATTTTGGCATCATTGAGTTCGCCTAGCTCAGGTGCATCGAATGGTATACTTTTTGCTAGGGTGAAGTCAACTTAAGTAGTTGACCTCGGGTCAAGGTCAGGTCAGAGCCCCTCAGGTCATGAAGCTGGGCAAAGGGTATCATATGACATATCATTCGATTCGGAAGGTCTTCCCGAGTCCATTGGTGGCTTTCCCGACTCTCTAGCTCCATTTGATCGGGAGTTATCGACGAAAAACTCGTACGACCCTAGTGACGTCATAAATGACGTCACGCAAGGTTAACAATGCAAAAGTGAAGCATTGGACTTTGCAAGGAGTGCATGAAATCACGATACCATGTACGTGAGATAGTTTTAGATCATTCTCGGCCCCAAAATAACAGTTTTTATATTTCCCCATTGACTTATAACAGTGATGTCACGTGACCGACCTGACCTCATGTAACCTTAAAAAAATTCCCAGATATACAAGTTGTGAGACCTCTGGAGGACACCATGTATGCGTCTTGTAACTTTCATCTCGGACAGCTATGGTCATTGGCGTCCAAAACAATGTCAGAAGAACCAAACAGCCTTTTTCACCCTCGCGCTTATAGGAAAGAGGGTTGGATGAGCCCTCTTTTCACTTTTTTTTCAGATGACTCAGACTTCAATTGAAATTTTAGTAACCCGTGATGTCACATGGCAGCTTTACCACGCCATTTGTAAGCTCCCCTCCCGAAATCACTATTCGAAACCGTTATCGTGACGTAAAATAAATACATTTATAGAAAGAATACCTTCCTAATT